AAAACATTAATTGTCCTTTTGAATATGATAGGGAGTCATGGAGTGTGCTGTTTAATCCCAGAGTAGTTCATGTACAGGCACAAACACTGACTGTACTGCACTTACTTCCCGGCTCCATCAGGTGTTTGTTTAATGCAAGTAGGGAGTCACAGAGTGTGCTGTTTAATCTCAAAGTAGTTCACGTACAGGCAACTGCACAAACACTGACTGTATTGCACTTACTTCCTGGCTCCATCAGGTGTTTGTTTAATGCAACATTTTGCTCACACATGGCCAGAAGATCTTCACCAACATCTGGAAAAAAAAGTGAAAATCAGAATATTTTGCATGAGCTGCACATGCCCCTGACAAATACTCTAAATTTCTCTCAAGCTGATTAGATTAAGGAAAACTCTGAGCAACTCTATCCACTGATGATTCCTCCCCTAGCATGATTCTTGCTTTTGTCTTTCAGTACTAAGCTCTGAGCCACCCTTGAAAGAAGCTAGATCCCTACACTACCTATTTTAATCTAGGCACACTGTCTTGAGTTCACAGCAATGTGAAATTTAACCTCTTGTGCTTAAAAGAGGTGCTGCTTTTTCATTTTCTTGAGAAGGTTCTTGCTACTTTCCGATAAATGACACAACTTTATATATGTTAATTAAAAAATATTAACTAAAACTGAACAAATGAGGATTAAAGTGCCAGGATGAAAACACTGCTTCATGAAGTTTCATGAAAATACTTAACTGAAAATAACTGGGGTCACCTGTGCAATAAACTCTCTTGGCAACTGTTCCCATGATAACACTTGTAATCCCAGTGCCACCTCCGAGCTCCAGCACCGAGCAGCACCGGAATGTGTCCCGACTAAACAGAATGTAGTCAGCAAGGAGAAAGGCTGCACGCCAGACCTGGGGGGGACAGAAGCAGTTTCAACTGAGTGAACTCTGGAGCACAGTCCATGAACAGCAAGATACCACAGGGCAGAATACATACTTGTTTTCCGACATCTTCTAAGGGGGTTGCCATAGTATGTTCTATGAAAATAGATGTAGAGCAGAAATATTTATCTCAAAATCTTGTTCAAATCAAGTTCCATAATGGCAAATTTGAAAATCAAGTCATGCTTCCCTTTCAAATAAAGAATTAAACACTCTTCATTCTATACAAAAATGGCAGATAATGCTGAAAACTTAACACTTAACAACCGCTGATCTATTACTAAAGAAAATCTATTTTTCTTTTTTATTTTACACGAACATTTTTATTCCATTTCTCCTTGACTGTAAGCCTACTATTTACCTATTTTAACAACAGTGCCAGTGCATTCTTGTTCTTCATCTTCGAAAGCATCTTCTGTCCCTCTCATCAGGATGACAGGACACACTCTATGCCTCAAAAGCTCCTCTGCTTCTAAATCAGAGGCGCTCCGAGGTCTTCTGACCACTTCCAAGTCTCCATCATCATCTAGCAGAGCTTGTACTCCTTCACTATTTAATTCACTTTCTTTTTTTAGATGATTCCTGTCCTTGTCACACAGTTCTTCTCCACTTCTGCACTGGTGTTCTCTTTCTCTTGTAGCTTCTCCCACACGTTTCTCAGATGCTGAATCTTCTGTGTTCCAAAGGAGTTTGAAATACGACAAGAATACTGCAAGAACAAAGACAGGAGGGGAAAAAAGTTAAATGCACAGAGCTAAGAACAGAATCTATGTGCAACTTGCACGTGCGTGAAATTTTGGTATCCGTTTAACATACTGAAAATCTAGAGGGTAAAATAATTACACAGATAACTTAAAATACACTTCAATTTGCTACAAAGAAATATTGCTGCTATTAAGTTCTGTCAGTAGAAATAAGTTAAGCACTTTCACAGTCTACTGGCTGACTCAGCATCCAGGCAGTCACAAAGCAGTGTCACCTGATTTAGTAATGTTTATTTTAACAACTGGCAAAAGGTGTAATGAGTTTCTCACATCCTCCAAAAGATCTCTGGTTGAGACAAGCTCAAACCAAGCTGAAAGAAGAATGAATACAAGTTAGAATTTGTTTCTTTCAGTTAGACTTAACCCCTGTTGTATAAGAAACAAACACGTTCTTGTAAAAACTAAGTAGAAAGTTTTTTTACTGTTTTAAAAGCTTTAGGAATCCAAGCAAGTCTTAAAATCAGCTGAGTATGAGTATGACAGAGCAGAAATAAGCTCACGGGAGACAGCTTGCCCAAGCCAGACATGCTGACACCTCTTAAACTTTTTTTTAAAGTCGTCCAACTGAGTCTTTGAGGAGATTAAATGAGTAAGGCCACTGTTCTCAATAAACCAATTAATTAAAAACCTTTTGCCACCATCATCTAGTGACATCAGCATCTGTTAAAAAAATTAAATTATCCAAACATGGACCTTGCACATTTAATTATAGGCATCTGTGTTCTCTGTATACAACACCTGAGGAAGAATAAACATTTTTCTTCCATCTGGAGCTGTATCTCAGCTCTACATCAGTGCTTGGCTGAAGGGGCCTGTCCTAGCCTAGCAGGAGAAATTTTCCAATTCATCTACTGTTTGCATGATGATCAGATTAAGCTGATTTGAATTTTTAACAAATTAGAGGATGCTACCAATGAATTAAATGCTTTCATTCTCCAAATGCATTTTGTTCCTCTGCAAAAGCTGACAGCTAGAACTGACCCAAAGCAGCAGAGACTAAATCCCCATGAGGTTCCCTAAAAAAGAGCAAAGTGACAGTGGTAGACTGTCATTGTATTTGTTACAGCAAAAGCTGTCATACTACAATCCAATTCCTAATACAGGCATTTCCCAGACCAAGCCCATTCAGAGTAGGCAGCACATGCTGCCATTTCATTCTGTGGAGGTTCTTTCCATCAAGCAAAATCACAGCAAACAAATGTCAAACAGCATGAAGACACATCATAGCATTACTTACCTGGTTCTTACTTGATCAGGATCAAAATAATTATCCCCTCTTTCTCAAGCCTACTTTTATAATTTTTACTCTGTCATATGCTACAACAGTTGCAAAAATTATTCTTTTTATGTCACAACTGGGTTTGGAAAAAACAATTAACAGTCCTGTCAGAAGAGGAGCAGTACTGTTCTACAGACCATTTTAGAGCAGCTTCAAGGTCAGTTTCCTTCACAACTTCATAGAAACCTCCAAGCCAGCAATCAGGCAGAGGCAAAGTCATTTCCACTGCAGCCTTGACTCTCCAAATTATCCAAGTCAGTCAAAGCCATTGCTATTCTGAGCTTTCTTGTTGCCATTAAAAAACAAAACCAAAAACCCTAAACGGTCAAACCCAAACAAAGCTCTTAGGCTCCTTTGGAATAGCTGGTACATCATCACATAAAGATTTTATTTTTAAAATAATAAATTAATTAATGATATTTTTTATTTTAAACTTCTTACACTATTTAAATTCCTTGGCTTCTTGCCTGTTGTTTGTATGGAAGAAACATCCCAACTTTTTAACATGATTCCCAAAGTGCCATGTTGAGATTATAGCTAAATGAACAAATAAATAAATTAGATTAAACTTGCAAGCAAGTTAACTTAGTTAGTTCTTCTCAGGAAGTAATTTAAAATTTCTTATTTTAAGATAGGCTGTCTACAAATTCTCCATTAATAGTTTTCAGTTCTGTAGTTTAGTTCATCAGCTAGCCCTCTTCCTAAAGACTGAGTAGGAAGTGATTCTGCTGCTAACTGGAATAAAATATGTAATGATGAACATCAACCATTCAAAGGGGGATTCAGACATTACAGATATATAAATACACTTAAAATACAGCTCCATCAGTCAAAACATACATTACCTGGTTGTCCAACTGCATTCAAGCGTACCATGAGATGTCTTTTGCTTGGACAGTGTAAGTGAACATCAGAAAGCACCGTGTCACTTTTAAATGTGGGGTTATCCATCTCCTCCTCGGGCACATCCAGCATGGTGTGCTGAACAGCCCC